CCTAGAGGGCACCTAAAAATGATAACAACAAACAAAATAAAACAATAACAACAAACCCAACAGAGCCGAGGCAGCTGAAAGGACTAGATCATAAAAAAGAATGTCACTGTAAGTATAAATGAATTAAATTCTCTAATCAAAAGACAGAGTGGCTGAATAGATTGAAAAAAAAAATCAAGACCCAACTACATGCTACCTACTTGAGACTCACTTCATGTTTAAGGACACATAGACTGAAAGTGAGAGGATGGAAAAGACAGTCCATGCAAATGGATATCAAAAGAAAGCAGGGCTAGCTATATTGATATCAGAAAAAAAAAAAAAAGATTTTAAACCAAACACTGTAACAAGAGACAAACTCATTAGTAAATTATATAATTGAGGATATAAAAATTATAAGTTTTTATGAAGTCAACATCAGAACACCTAAATATATAAACCAAATAACAGACTTGAAGAGAGAAAATGACAGCAACACAATAATAGTAGGAGACTTCAATATCCCACTTTCAACAATGGATAGATCACACAGACAGAAAATCAGTAAGGAAACATTGGACTTAAACTACACATTAGAATAGACCTAACACACATATACAGTATGTTCCATCCAATAGCATCAGAATACAAATTCTTTTCAAGTGCACAAGGAACATTCTCCAGGATAATATTTTAGGCCATAAAACAAGTCTTCATAAATTTAAGAAGATTGAAATCATATCAAACAGCTTTTCCGACCGCAATGATATTAAACTAGAAATCAATTACAAGAGAAACACTGAAAAATTCAAAACTACATGGAGGTTAAACAATTTGCTCCTCAATGACCAATGGGTCAAAAGAGAAATAAAAAAAAATATATCATGAGACCAATGAAAATGGAAACACAACATATTAAAACTTACGGAGTGCAGCAAAGCAGTTCTAAGACGGAAGTATAGAGATAAAGGCTCACATTAAAAAAAAAATGAAAGATCTCAAATAAACAACTTAACCTTAAAACTCAAGAAATTAGAAAAAGAAGGACAAATTTAACCCAAAGTTAGTAGAAGGAAGGAAATAACAAAAGTCAGAGTGGGAAAAAAGTGAAATAGAAACTAGAAAGAAAATAGCAAAGATCAATGAAACTAGAGCTAGTTTTTGAAAAAAAACAAAAAACAAAATTGACAAACCTGTAGCTAGACTAAAATAAAAGAAAGATGACTGAAATAAATAAAAGTAGAAATGAAAGAGAAGACATTATCACTGAGAACACAGAAATACAAAGGATCATAAGGCACTACTATGAACAATTGTAGGCTACCAAATAAGATAACCTAAAAGAAATAGTAAATACCTAGAAACATACAACCTACCCAGGCTGAATCATGAAGAAATAGAAAATCCAAACAGACTGATTACTAGAAAAAGAAACTGAATGAATCAGGAACCAAAAATCTCCTAACAAAGAAAAATCTAGGACCAGACAGCTTCACTAGTGAATTCTATCAAATATTTAGAGAAGTAACACCAATCCTTCTCAAACGCTTGTAAAAATAAAAGAGGAAGGAACACTTCCAAACTCATTTTATGAAGCCAGCATTACCCTGATACCAAAATCAGACAAGGACATTATAAGAGAAGAAACATACAAGCTAATAACTCTGATGACCATAGATGCAAAATTGCTCAACAAAATATTAACAAATGAAATTCCACAGTACATCAGAAGGTTCATACACCATGATCCAATGAAATTTATTCCTGCTTTGCAAGAACAGTTTAACTTATGCAAAACAATAAATGTGACACATCACATTAACAAAATGAAATATAAAAATTATATGATCATCTCAATAGATGTCAAATAAAACATATGATGCAAAAAAAAAGCATTTGACAAAATTTAACATCATTTAATGATAAAAGGCTCTCAACAAATAGGGTATAGAAGAAAATTACCTCAACATAAAAAAAGGCCATATATGACAAACCAAGCTACCCTTATACTTTTTTACCTTGTCCTTGACTAAACCTGCCTTGTTCTTCCCCCTCTCTTCCTTCCTCCTTTGCTCTCTCCCTCCTTCCCTTCTACCTGTCCCTCCTTCAACATTTATTATGCACATTCTATGGGAGCCACTGATTTATAGGTTTTATTGTAGTCATACATGACTTATGATTCATATCAAAATTCCTGAAGCACCTGGCCAAACTCGGGTCATGTGCTTGCCCCTTAGCTGGTGGGTTGAGGGGACATAGTTATTGTAAGGGGCACCTGTGAAGGGCCTTGTGAAAAAATAGACAAGTAACATATCCATCACATGTTTTTCAAATGCATGTAGATGCTGTTGTGATTAGTAAAACATTGTGAAGATACTATTGGGATTCATAAAATATATCTTAATTCATATCAAATTAACATTGCTTTTGTCATTACGTATTTTTAATCAATATATAAGTACTATTATTTTGTTAGTGTCTATGGATTTTCTTTTTGATGTTGAAAGGGGGTCCTTTATACCACCTAAACCTCAGGCTTTGGAGTAAGACAAATTTGGGTTCAAATCTCACTTCTGTCATGTATTAGTTGGGTGACTTTGGGCTAGTTGCTTTTTTTTTTTAACATGGATTTTGTTTTATTTATTTATTTTATTATTTTATATTAGTTTCAGGTATACAGTACAATGGTTAGACATTTATGCAATTTACAAAGTGATCCCCCCGATTACTCTAGCACCCATCTGGCACTATACACAGCCACTTCAATAATATTGATTATATTCCTTACGCTGTACTCTACATCCTTGTGGCTGCTTTCTAACTACTAATTTGTACTTTTTAATCCCTTCACCTTTTTCACCCAGTCCCCCAACTCTCCTCCTTTCTGGCAATCAGCAATTTGTTTTCTGTATCTGTGAGTCTGTTTTTGTTTAGTTTGTTAAATTTTTTTATTCCTTAATTTCCACATATAAGTTTATTCATAAGGTATTTATCTGACTTATTTCACTCAACATAATATCCTCTAGGTTTATCCATGTCGTTGCAAATAGTAAGATTTTATTTTTTTATGGCCGAGTAATATTCCATTGTATATATGTACCATATCTTCTTTAGCTAATCATCTATTGATGGCACTGAAGTTGCTATTGTGAATAGTGCTACCATGAACATAGGAGTACATAGATCTTTACGATCTAGTGTTTTGGGTTTTCTTTGGATAAATACCCAGAAAAGATTGAAAATACAGTAAATGAATTAAGAATTCAACTGAAGGAGGTAGAAAAATAGCAATACAATTTTCATGTAACCTGGGAGAGAAGTTTGAAAAAACTACAGCTAATGGCAGAAAAACTCATACAGTACATTGGTTCAACATCAGGAATGGGATGGGAAGGAAAGCAGAATAACAAAAAAAGTAGAAGATGGGAAACTACTAGTGGAATGCATCATGAACAATGTCACCTATACTTGGGTCTATGAAAAAGTAGAGTAAAAATTCTATCATCCTTCTGGACAGGAATTAGCTGTGAGGATGAACGGGCTCAGTTCAATGAGCAAATCTCTCTATGCTTTTTTTTTTTCATTATTGTGTTCAATTATCTTTATTACAAACATTTTACATGTAACTATTTCTGAGTGTTAGTTCAATTAGGATCATCCCTTTGGTTAGTAATTAAATGTGTTTATGTTATAATAATAATAAAAATGAAGAGAATTTAAAGTTATAATAATTATAAGACCATAAACTAATACTTCTCAAAATTTTGCACTGAAAAGCCCCTAATGATACACCAAAGTGAACCTGGACTTCTCAACAATCATATATGAGACTCTTTTAAAACTTTTGGAAAGTTGTTCATTACTCTTAATATAATAAAGATTTCATAAAATTATTTTCTTCATTTCTATACAGTTTCCTGGATACTGAGTCACATAAAAGTCAAACACATTAGTATACCTTTTTTGCATTTCATTATTTTGTTAGAAAACTCTTATTTTTTTATAAAATCATTATTGTGTTCAATTATCTTTATTACAAACATTTTACATGTAACTATTTCTGAGTGTTAGTTCAATTAGGATCATCCCTTTGGTTAGTAATTAAATGTGTTTATGTTATAATAATAATAAAAATGAAGAGAATTTAAAGTTATAATAATTATAAGACCATAAACTAATACTTCTCAAAATTTTGCACTGAAAAGCCCCTAATGATACACCAAAGTGAACCTGGACTTCTCAACAATCATATATGAGACTCTTTTAAAACTTTTGGAAAGTTGTTCATTACTCTTAATATAATAAAGATTTCATAAAATTATTTTCTTCATTTCTATACAGTTTCCTGGATACTGAGTCACATAAAAGTCAAACACATTAGTATACCTTTTTTGCATTTCATTATTTTGTTAGAAAACTCTTATTTTTTTATAAAAATCATGTGTAAGATATTTATAAATATATATTTAAAAAGGAGAAAGCTGACATATAGACATGAATAGCACTCATAGTCCCAGAGACAGACACAAGCCTAGACCTTAATCTTTCTGATGCCGACTTTGATATTCCTTGTATAAGAAGAATTTATTTTCTATTTTGGAGATGTAGTCTGCTAAGCAAATTAAATATCAATGATACACCTTTGCACCAATATCTACAATGGTCTCCTTTTCATTCCCACATAAATAAAAACAATATTATGAACTTTAACTAATTTTACATACACATTAATGAATATTTAACAAATTAACCAAAGTAAATCACATAAATCTAGCCAAACAAAAGATCGAAACCCCAAAACAAGTTCAAGCTGAAATTATATTTTGCCATTCTGACAGTTAATTATATTTAACTTAAGGGCAAAATAGGCAATCCTTCAAAAATTAGGTCTACGAAATAAATATTTTAATAATGTTTTTAAATTCTTAGGTTTTAAATTTATACTATAATACATGATGTTTAAAATTTTCTATGTTTTTGCAATACCAGCTTCATGAGTTGTATACTTCTAGATATCTTACCTTTTTTGATATAGAAAGAGGGGGCTCCTTTTTCAGACTTCTTAGTAAAAATTCTGGCATGTTATTTTCAATATCCTCACGAGTTCCCCTTTTATGCAAAACTGCAGCCAAAAATGAAATAACCTAGAAAAAAAAAACCTTTCAATCAATGTGTATAATGTATCATGATGGACAATTTTACTGCTTATATGACTACCAAACTCTAGTGATAAACACTATTGGTTTTATTTGTATTAACAAACAAATGTATAATATACATGTTATCCTTGAATACAGTAAAAAAAATTCTAACATTGCCATTTCTTCATGATAAGTTCTACCTACTCAATGAATTATTTCTTCATCTCATCAGCTGGGACATTATCTTCTTAATTGTTTAATCCATGGAGACTAATTCTTCATATTTTCTATTAGAATAAACTGTGTACATTTTTTTTCCTTATTAAAAATAAACTTCTTAAGGGTAATATTTGGCTCATAAATTTGTACACTTTTATCCAATAAGTAAAGGTGGAATAATAGAATGTTATTTTAAGATAGACTAAGATAATTCATCAACATACACATCATTCCAAAAATCAAGTGAGAAAGACAAACAGATATAGAAAAAAGGAAATATAACCTCATATAATGAAGAGCAAGAAATAGCTAATCAATTAGACATTGGTTCAAATTTCAGCCTTAGTTGCTTGGCAGTTATGTGGACTTGGGCCAGTTAGTTAACCTCTTTAAATAACTGTAAAAATACCTAAAAATAGCAAAAATAATATCGGCAGGGTTGCTTTAAAGATTAGAGGGGGGAAGTATGACATATCCATATGGGGGAAAAGTTGATCATTATTTTTGAAAAATAAATCATTAAATAAATATTAAAACCTAAGGAAAAAAATGAATTAGCCAAGCTCTAGAAAAAGAATATTTTAGCATAATATAGATACCTATAATCTGAATCCTACGTGACAGAAGAAAAAGAATGGTACAAGAGAAGTATTTGAAAAGATAAAGGCTGAAAATTTTTAAAAACTGAATTAAAAAAAAAAAATCAAACCATTTATTCCAAACGTGCTAAGATTAAGCCAAAAAAAAAATTTAAAAATCTACAAGTAAATGCTTCATTAAAAAATCTGCTCGAAAATTTAAAAAAAAAAAAAAAATTTAAGCAGCCAGAGGAAAAAAGAAATGACCTACAAAAAAGTAACAATTTGACAAATAACTGACTTTGCAGCCGAAACCATTAAAAAGCTATACAACTGAATGATACTTGCAAAGCATTGAAGAAAATAAAAGCAATCTTGTTTTATAACCAGTGAAAATATCATTCAAAAATGAATATAAAGATATTTTCAGACAAACAAGAACAGACCCAATTTATCCCCCAAAGAGCCACACATTAAAAAAAAAAAAAAAAAAGAAATTACTAAAGGATTTTTCAGGCATAAGGGAAATTATCCTATGTAAACAGTGATTCAGGGTAAAATTAAGATCAACAAAAATGATAAATATATAGAAAATGTAAATGTATATTGACATTATGAAACAATAATAATTATTTTGTTGTGATCGAATTAAAGAATTAAAAGATATTAAAAGAATCAAATAACAAATGTGAATCAGAAAGTGCACAGTGTAGTTATACTATTCTGAGGTCCTTTTGCTGTGCAGGAGGAAATAAAAATACTAATTAACATTAGATTTTGACAAATCAAGGGTATCTGTTGTAATCTCTGGAGTAATCAATAGAAGAATGCAAGAAATAAAAGTAGAAAAATCCACAAGCACTATGGTACATTTTGAAATAACTCGGTAAGAACAAACAAAATAATATGTAACATGGTTAGCAAACCTGACCTAAAGAACATTTGATAGAACACTGCATACTGCTGCAAGAAAAAAGTTCCAATGAAAGTTTGTGTATTATGTGCCACTGAATCAGCTCTCTGACTCTTGGTGACCCTATGAATGAGTGATGTTTACAACATCGTTTTGTCAACAGCCCTGATCAGCTGCTGTAGACTCATGTCTATGGATTCTTTCACGGAGTCAATCTATCTCACATTTGGTCTTTCTCTCCTCCTGCTGCTTTCTATTTTTCCCAGCATTACCATCTTTTTCAAAGTAACTGCCTTCTCATGATGTGCTTGAAGTAGGATAAGTTCAGTTTTGTCATTTTTGCCTCCAGCAATGTTTTGGGCTTTATTTGCTCTAGGACTCACTTGTTCATCTTTCTGGCAGTCCAAGGTACCTGCTGAGCGATCCTCCAGCACCATATTTCAAATGAATCTTTTTTTTTTTTTTCCTTACGGTCTTCTTCACTGTCCAACTTTCACATCTGTACATAGTATGAGGGTGTGGATGATCTTAGCCTTGGTCTCTAATGACACATCTTTGCTCTTGGTGATCTTTCCTAATTCACTGCTGCCCTTCTGAGTCTCAGCATTCCCTTGATTTCTTGGCTGCAGTCTCCACTGGAATTGATGACTGAACCATGGTAAGCAAAATTTTTAACAATTTCATGTCTTCACTGTCTATGTTAAAGTTGTGTATTTATTCTATAGCCACAATTTTTGTCTTCTTGATGTTCAAATGCAGTCCTGCTTTAGCACTTTCTTCTTTCACTTTTATCAGAAGTCATTTCAAATCATTGCTACTTTCTGCCAGTAAGATGGTGTTATCTGCATACCTCGAGTCATTGATATTTCTTCCATTAATTTTCATTCCTTCTTCTCTGGGCATAGACCACTTTTTTTGTATATGTTCTCAAGTACAGATTATACAGTGAATTAAAATGCACCCTTTCTGACACCTTTGCCTATAGGGACCATTTTATCTCTCCATAGTCTGTCCTGACTGACGGTGGCTTCCTATCTACAATACAGGTTACACATCAGGACAATCAACTGCTGAGGCATGCGCATTTCTTTCAGAGCAGTTCATAGCTTTTCATAATTGATGCAAACTAACCTTCTGAAATTCTTTGGAGCACTCCAGTATCACATGAAGTTGACAATGCCAAGTCATAAAGCAAATTTCAATAGAGCTCAACAGAAATCATACAGAATATGTTCTTTGATCACAATGCAAGAAACTATAAATAACAAAAATATAAGCAGAAAAACCCCCAAATGTTTAGAAAGTAAGGAATATGCTTTAGAAAGTAAGAAACACTCACAATGAATACTAAAAAATAATTTGAGTTGAATAATTATTTCATATCAAACTTGTGGAATACGCCAAACGCCATGCCTTAAGGACTTAAATGCATGTATTAGGAAGGAAGAGAGGCTGCTAATCAAATGTCTGAGAATCTATTGTAAAAATTTATTAAAAAAAAAAACCAGAAAACTTAAATAAAAAATTAACAGAACATGAAAATGAATACAATAAAAAGGATCAACAAAACCAAACGATCATTTTGTGAAAAAATTTTAAAAGTGATAAACTCCTGGCAAAATTGATAAAGAAAAAAGAGAAATTAAGAGGCAAATACACAAAAAAATATGTATCGGACATAATAAATGCAAAAAACTGAAAATTTAGATGAAATTGAGAAACAGAACTTATTGAACTCATCAAAACTAACACAAAAGGAAACAGAAAATTTACATATTTATATAACTATTAAAGAAATTGAAATACAAAATTATAATCCTGCCACAAAGAAAAATAAGGGCCAAATGGCTTCACCAACAAAGTCAACCTATAATGCTTAAGAAAGCTATAATGCCAATCTTAAACAAACTCTTCCAAAGTTTAGAGAGATGAAATGTTCTCAACTCATTTTATGAGTTCAGCATAATTTTAATAAGAAAATTGGACAAGATTATAATAATACCAGAAATTTACAGGCCAATTTCTTTTATACAGAAGCAAAACCCTTAAAACATTAGCAAATGGAACATAGAAATATAAAAAAGGAATATACACCAAAACCAAGTTAAATTGATTCTGGGAATGAAGTTTGGTTTCACCTTCAATATTTAGATATTAGGTGTTAGGTAGGTATCATAGGTATGATACTTAGCTTTCCTAACTCTTACTTTCCTTAAAATAAGAATAGGATGACCTATTTTATTACGAGATAACTACATTTTATATAAAGTGGTACATTCACTTTTAGCACACTGTGAAAAGTTGAGAATGTATATTTTCATCACTTGAGCAATCACCAAAAAAATAATGCAAAGAATATTTTAAAAATCAACAGACAAATTAAAATGGGATTCTAAAAAACATCCTATCAACACAAAAGAAGGCAGGAAAGGAGGAATAGCAAAACAGAAAACAGTGTGTTCAAACAGAAAACAAATAAAATGGTATATCCAAATCCACACAAAAGAGGAATTACATCAAATATAAATTAACTACTTGAATGAAATATCAGAGATTGTCAGACTGGATAAAAGAGTTGTCTACAAGAGACATACTGTAAATATAAAGACAGATTGCTTGAAATAAAGGGTTGGAAAAAGACATACTATGCAACCAATAAGCATAAGAATATTGGAGTATTAAATCAGATAAAATAGATTTCAAACAGTATTACCAGAAATAGACATTTCATAATTATGAAGGGGTCAATTCATTAGAAAGACATAACAATCAGAAAGGTTTATGATCCTAATAACAGAGCTTCGAAATACATGAAGGCAAATTTGTTAGAATTAAAGGGAGAAATAAATAAAACCACAGTCATAGTAAGGAATTTTAACTTTCCTCCCAGCAATTAACAGTAAAAGAAATAGAAAATCTGAACACTATCAATCACTTTGACTTGCTAATTGGTATTTATAGACTATATCCAACTGCAGACTACATATTCTTTTGAAATACACATAGTATATTCAATAAAATGGGACATTAAAAAACTCTCGGTAAATTTTCAAACTACTAAAATCTTATAGACTAACTACTATAGAATCAGAAAACATTAACGATGAGATATTTAGGAAAAAATACGTAAATACCGGCAAATCAAATATACACATAAATAACCCAAGGTTCAAAGAAAAAAATCACAAGGAAAATGAGAAAATATTTTGAATTACATGAAAATGAAATATAACAAAAATTTGTGGGATACAATAAAGCAATGCTTGAACATAAATTCAGAGCATAAGAAGGTA